TTATCGTATCAGTGTCGACTGGAAACACTTGCGAGAAAAACTTTGTACTAAGATCTTGAAGTGTGGGAATTATAGGTAGTGTATGTGGTTGAACCCGTTTAGGACTACCGGCATGATTAGCTACCTGAGTAAAAGCTGTCGTGATGGCCGACACTGTTAGTCGGTAGAGTCAAACAAGCTAACCATTCTGTTGTTCGGCGTTGAATGCCGAGTTAAAACTTTCCCTGGCAGTGATGCCAATGTTCGATCCCTTTTGGGAAAATGGTTGTTGTCAAACCCTTTGTCCTGCGGAGTACTTAAGAAATTGTGAGATTCGGAAATTGAAATTTCTGGTATGTGCCTCGAACCGAGTGTCGAACCTGACTGGGTGTAGCCACGCGAAGTGGTGGCCGAGCCCGCACGCCCGTGCTGAGAGACGTGAGGCCAACTGCAGTGGCCGATCGTTGACTCGCATGAGAGCTGTCGCCGTCGTCACCGAAAGCCAAACTCCCCAGGTCAGTGTGTACGGCCAAACCTTGACCTTGTAGCTGGTATCCGAGTGGGTACATGCACGCGTCCCAGCGCCCCGCATATGTAGCGCCAGCGTGTGTGTCACCTCTCGGGTGACAGTGCATGAAACCCAGTCCGACCCTGTCCTTTTAGGGGTCATTGAACCAGATCTTGGTCAAAGTGTATGTTGATCTTTCGAGTCATTGTGTGAATTCTCTAATCAACAATCTTCAATGTGTGAGGCTTGTTGATTAGTTTCCTATGCCACATGCGAGGATTCCTCGAGTTGGCGAAATAGAAGATTTGTGTTGTCAGCAAACGGAGCCAAGAGGGGCTACGTTTGTATCGTAGAATCGTGTGTTGTGAGTATGAGTATAGCGAGGCTATATTGCGTGCATGGTTGCACATTTACCGTGACAATTGCTTCGGCAAGAGGTCACGAGTGTGTCGAGATTGTGGGTAAGTTTTTGGCGTGACCCGGGCACCATGCTGAAACTCAACTCCACGTATCGACCGCGATTGTTGACCGATGATATCACGGTCAAGGCACTATGAGTCTTGTTGAGGTCGTATGCGCATGTTGTGTGATGCGTTTTTGTGATTTCTCACCTTGAGTGAGCCTTTTTGTGTTTTGAACGGGTATCTGGATGGTACCGTTCGGGTTTTTCCCCTTTCGTATGACTAGAGGTGTGATGGACCTCGGTTTGGGGTAATGAGGATCCGCTGTCGTGTGCAGTTGGTCCTTTGAGATCCTTACTCAAGTCGTTGACTTGGATTATCAGCTAGCTTTACCACCAGATTTACCAGGGGTGCATGTTGTGTTTATGTCTCGGTGTTGCGTAGAGATGTATATGACCCGGATTACGTGGTGGACTTCGGCGAACTGTGGGTCGGGCGAGACCTTACCTATGAGAAGGTACCGGTGGCCATTTTGGACCAGGGTGTCTATC